GCAGGGAGTATGTTACATAGTAAAAAGAATGTGACCTTATCAACTTCATGAAAACTTGCTACTTGTGAGGCATTTTGACCTAGTTTATATATTAGATGACAATAATATTACCCTGCAAAACAAGCAATTGGTTGCCAACTATCACAACCTTCAACATTCTATACAGTTCAAAGTTTATGGATTCAAAAAAAATATCTAGCCAAATATATTTTAGCTTGATATTTTGTATACCTCAGCCAAACCATAATTTACTGTGCACTATTTTTTCCACTAACTTCATTCTGTATTATGTTCTTTATCTCAACTTGTTGGATTTCCTTTTTCTTAACATTCATGCCTTTGAAAATATTTTTTCTAGGATTTGTTTGAAGTTTTAATTCTACGGAAATGGACAGTTTCCTCTTCTTTTATAAACACTTCTATAGCTGTGCTATGAACATTTCGTGTCATTACATCAACACAATCACTTGGTATCAGACTGCATGTTTTTGTCCTTACTGAAACAGAATCTTAAATTTTCCAGTACTTAGACATGATGGTTTGGTTTTCTTTTGTTTTCACACCGGATTGCCCTGAAGCTGAGCCGGAAGAAGGAAATTCGTGATCTAAGCAACTCTGCACGCAAACCTCTTGGTAGCTCTTAGCGTACCTAGCTAAAAGCATACAGATTACAGCGAAACATGTCTGTAATAAGACTCTGAAGAGTCATTGTCAAAGCACATAAAACTGAGCTGAGAAAATGGAACGTTTTGCCTCAATAAAGAAAGTAAGCACCATGAGCCGTTCCTGCAATTCAACACCCTAATTTAGCCCAAGTCACCAAATATCTCAGTCCTAAGCTATGGTCCCATTAGGGTCTTGGGGCATACGTCAGGCCCAACAATTGCTGAGCTTTTCCAGTCATGCTGCTGTGGTCGGTAATCATTGGTGTTTCTTTGAGAACAGGCAAAGCAACCAACCATTCAGCACACAACATCTAGGGCCCCCCCACCCAATCAAGTGCTACGCAAAGGAAAGTGGGCTAGGCCTCGTTCACGTTCCCCCTTTCCTCCCTCCCTTCTACAACAATACCACGGCGGCTCCACTGCGAGGGATTTTGCTCCATGAGATTCAGCACCCGCTTGCCTTTGGTTGTAATTGTGCTCGTCATCGTTCTCACAATCGCTGCAATGTTGGTGATTATTCTCCTCGTCTGCTGTCCCCTTCACCGCTGTCTCACTGTCGTCCGCCATCTTGGTAAAGGGAAGCCTCGTCGGCTGACGCAGTTGCGCAGTGCCCAAAGCCAAATCGGGATTGGACGCCCAACTGCAGTGCGCTGTGGGATTTGTAGGCAACAGTGTAATTAAGAAACCCTTATTTAAGCAATAAAGGGCGTGGGACCAAAGTGCCCATGAATCTTTGTGGAAAGGTTCCCAATACTAAGCTAATTATCTCTTATCTCCTCTGGCTTTCTTGCTAGCAGAGTTGCCCTAAATGATAGGAAAGATGGGAATTTTACTTAATTTATTGTTTATTACAAAAAAAATTGTATCCCCAAATTTTGACCTGTTTATTGCAAATAAAAATATTAAAAAATAACATTAACATAGAAAGTACTAACTAAAACAGGCAAATTATCAACATAACATTAAAGTCAATAAAAAAGCAACCTAAAACTACCCAAATATCATTTAATTCCTAAGGGCTGAGAAGAACACAATCAACTTAATTGCTTTCCTAAAATTCAGCCAGATGAGGGCTGATTAACCCTCTAGGGAAGATTTCTTCCATGTAATGGAGTTCTAATTTTGGAATAACCCCATTTTAGATATGGAACAGTCTTTTCAAGGATAGATTAAAACCTATCTGCCTAGATTATTTTGTTGACTTGTTAGGTACTCTTATATTTACTTGGCAATGTAATTATATTTCATTAGATTTTATCAAATTCTTTGAACAGTAGGTGACATCCAATTATTACTCTCCTGTCCTCTATTTTAATCCTGAAACTGGTAGGTTTTAACCAGTGCTTCAGAGCAATACAAAGCCATATTTTTGGCCTCTGTTGGAAACAAAATGTTGGATTAAGATGGTTTTTCGTCTGGTCCAGGAACATTATTATGTTCTTACTGATCAAAAGAGGAAAACATTCAAAAGCCAAAATGCTCAGCAAAGCTGAAGCTATATTTGAACCTTTGTATTAATTTGTTTTGTTAATAAAGATCTTTTTATTATAGGCTTTAGTCCCATAATTTTCCTAGGAAATGGTTCACTGAGTCAGCAGGACTCAATGTAGAGTAAATGGCAGGTATGAGGTATCCATTGAACATCATTCCAAGCAAACTGGCTGTGATGAACATTAGTCTTGACAATTTTACCCAATTTATTTAAAACTGTAGGAAAGGCATAAATTAGTTTCATCTTAGAAATTGTTTTTTTACCTAGACTCATTCCCAATATTCTTGTACAAAAATAAAGGGATTCTGATATTTTTGGGTATATGTAGTTAATTTCCAGCTCCAAAAAAATAATCTACGTTTTATACAACATTCTCAGCTATTTGAGATTAAGGAATAGGTCAGCTAGATAAATGAATAAAGTTCCTTGATCATGGCTAAGCCCTGGACACCAGAATTGCGCAAGAAGGCAAAGTATATGCATAATAGTTTTTGTAGTTATGAATAGGAAAGAGTGCAGTCTATAGCTTTTATTAACCTACTATATATATTATGCACAAAATATGCTAAAAGTAATGGATTACAACTTCTATACTTACCAGAAAATGATTGCACAAAGAAGTTGTAATCAATGCATCTCTAGAAGATATAATCTGAGGGAAATTGTATAGGGAATTGTATATAATTATTTTTCCTGAATCAATCATTCAAGGTTTATTAAAACGAGTACATCAATGTTTATATAGCTTATATATCTGATTAATTCTAATAGTACAATCTTAAACATTTACTCAGAAGAAAGGTCCACAATGGATTTATTTCTAGATAAATGAACATTTTACCCCAACAGATGGCACTAATGGACAAGCTGATCTTTCTGAAGCTAAGTACGGTGAGCATATTTAACATTTAGATGTGAGAACTAGGAAGTTCAAAAATTATCCTGGAAGAAGGAAACTACTTCTGTAACATTGCAAGAAACTTGTATAGATGTTTCTCAATTATCATCAAGTTTGACTCAAAGGAAAAATTACCTGGGATAGAAATAATTGCCTATTCATTTTGTACAAAAACCCTTAATTTTTAACTTTTTAAGTTATCTTAAATATGGCCTTTCTGAAATCGTTATGTTATGTATAATTTGGCACATAAACACAAAATAACAATTATGAATATATGATCGTGATTTATATTACATCATATTACACAATATCTTTGACCCATTTTTTAAAAAAGTTTTATTGAATAACAAAAAAGAAAAGAAAGAAAAATAATTAAAAACATCGAACGTGGTAAATCATTTGACAAACATCTCAGTTCATGTTGACATTAATTACAGATAAAACTCTTTACAATAACATCCTTCTAATTTCAATCTTAACTTATCTCATTACAATAACTTCCCTATTTTTGTTTTTTTTTCCCCACCATCTATAGAATTTATTCCATATTTGGTAAAAAAACTTTCATCCTGATTTTTTAGTCTTTTAGTTAACCTATCTAATTCTGCGCAATACATAATTTTCTGAATTAAAATTTCCCCACTAGGTACAGCCGTAGCTTTCTAGTTTTGAGCGAATAATATCCTTGCCGCTGTAACCACATGAATAAATAAATACATATCCTCTTTACTAACATTTTTTTCAAGGATTCCTAACAACGTTTTAGGTTTGTACTGGATGTGTAACATAATCATTTCTGTCACCCATTCCCAAACCATATGCCAGTACACCTGTGCTTCCTTACATGTCCACCAAATATGAAAAAAAGTGCCCCTTTCTTTTTTGCATTTCCAACATAAAGATGAATATCCTTTATACATTTTGGCTAATCTGGCTGGAGGGAGATGCCATCTGTACACCATCTTATACAGATTTTCTTTGTATGGTGACGCCAATGTAATTTTATTGTTTCGTGTCCATACCTGCTGCCATTGGTCCAAATTAATATTGTATCCTAGATCAATCGCCCATGTCACCATTGTCTTTGACCCATTTTTAATTCAGGATTATATATCATCAGACTGATTGAAATTCTCCAAGGCTTTCAAAAGTTTCCAAACCTCTCATCTATTTTTAAACCCAATATGCTAATAAATTCTGTATGCATGGTTGCCCTTGCAAATATTATCTCAATAATCCTATAAGATTGGTAGTCAAAAGTCACTATTGAGTTTAATAGCTTAGTAGGGATTTAAGCCAGGGTCATTCAACTCAAAGTTAAAATCAAATGCTATTTTCAACCTATGAGAAAACCATTGGCTTTGCTTTTGTTTTTTTAGTTTCAGTCAGTTGCTAAAGGCTTTTCCGCTGAATAGACTTTATTATGTATGTCAAATAACAAGGCAAATTTTGTACTGGATTCTTCTTCAGAACTATCTTATCTGAAATCATTCAGTAGGATCTCAAGGAAAGCCTTTTCCAACAAGTCCTTTGACCATACAGATTAGGAATTCCAAAAATGTTAATTCCAAACATCTAAGACTACTGGACAAGTACTTTATCCTTATTTTCTTCCTATAATTATTTCAAGAATTGGCCAACCTAATTGGTAAGACCAGGAATATGTCAACGATTACTATTTGTCGAGGAATTATTTTCATCAGGAATAAAGCAGTGCTCCTATTGACTCAATAAGAAACTCCGTACATAATGCAATTTTGACATTAGAAAGAACATATCAACCTCAGTATCCCCTACCGGTCTTCGTTTCTTTTCTTTGTTTGGCTTCACGCCTGGAAAAGTCAAGCTCAGTTTGGGTAATAGGGATTGGATGAAATTCCCAGCGTGATTTCTTTCAGCCAATAACGAATAAGAAAAGTGAAATGTACGTGAAGCCCAAGAAGTAAGCCGTAGCATCCTTTCGAAATAGGGGAAGTGCTTGAAAGAATTCAGATCATCGAACGGGAACTGAAAGCTGTGGCACAATATTCCTTCTTCTGTTGCATGGGAGAATAAGGTTTTTTTTTTTCCCGTTCCAGATACTGGTGAGGCATAGGCAGGATTATTCTAAACATAGGCAGAGTCGTTTCTCTCCTTGAATAATCGTAGTCCCTTAATTCTCCGTTTATATGAAAGGGATGTCAGATTGGTGTAGTGATTTTAAACTCCAGCCCACCTCTTCTTTTTGTAGAAATTAAGTGCAAGTGGTGCGAGCTCTTATAGGATTGCGTTTGTGTACCTTTATTGCATTTGAGGAAAATTGCTCTGTTATGTGACAGAACAACGGTAGTAGTGGATCGGAATAAAAATACTAAAACCCGCAGACGTTACTGTTATAGGAGACAGTATGAGAATAATTTGTATTGCTTTCTTTCGGGGTATCTTTCCTATTTAATTCCCAGGAATAAAATCAGCCAATTTCGGCTAAGTTCTATCTCTCTCTAAAATGAGTGTGTGTGGGTCGATGGGGTAGAAATTATTTATTTAATAAATCTAAACCTTGAAACAAAAGATAATATTCATGGTAATGCTTAAATTTGAAATATTCTCAAAGTGAAGATATCATTAACATATCTTGAGTAGTATTTGCAGAAACTGTTTGGGGTACTCTAATTGAAATTGTTTTATAACTTAACTTGAAGGACTTCAGATTTACTTTCCATGCCTAAATAGCTGCAGTAATGATTTGTGAATAATAATATTTGCAATTCTTACAAGAATTGAGGAAGACAAATGGAGATTTTTGTTGCACCAGAGGACTCTGATCTGATTTAGAAGTTTTGAAACAAATTGCTTGTTTTTCTGAAAAAAGGGGGGGGCAATTAGCAACGTTATGAAGGGGAAGTAAAATGTGATTTCTATTACAAGCCAACAGCTTGGGGAATAGACAACCTTTCTAAATTGTGCATGCCTTCTCTGATTATCCCATTGCTTCTGTAGTGGGTGAAACTTGACAAAAGAAAAATATTTTCTTTTTAATGCAAATTAATAAAGTTTACAAGCAAGTGGGCTATGTAGTTCAAAAAAAGGGGAAAAAAAAGGAGACAGGAATTTTGAAATGCTTATCATGAGATATTTCTTTGGATGCCAAAGTAATTTTAAGGGCCAAGGAGGCCCCTAAAGTAGAGAAGTTAATGAAACTATATTTCATGCATGGATTTAAAAATTCCAAAGCAGTTTGGGGGCAATAGTTTGTAATTTTATTAATAACTGGAATTCAGGCCTATAAAATGCTTTTTGTACTGTATATGTATTTGAATGTAAAACAGAAAAGTAATTGCCAAATTAGGTAAGAATGACAGTGAATATACAATATCTCTAAACTCATATTTTTGTTTCATTTTTTAAAATGTACAAATTATGTCAGATTTAGTATTTTCTTTCATTTTCAGGGCAAAATGTTTTTGGTGGGATTGACAGGTGGCATTGCATCAGGGAAAAGTACAGTAGTAACTCTGTTGCAGGAACTGGGTTGTGCTATTATTGATGCTGATGTTATAGCTCGTCAAGGTAAGTTTTCTATGAAGTTATTTGTTTGCAGATCAATATGATTTATTAGAGAACTGTTATTTAGAAATCCTGTAGAATTCCTAAGACATTATTGGGAATGATTCCATACTTCTTGCTTTTAAATATGACATTTCACATGCCTTGGAACTCAATGTACACATCACATTTCTCTTTTAACAGCCTCTGGTGTTCATTGGATTTGTGAGCTAGTTGATATATTTTTGCCTTTGTACTAAATTCCACCTGAAGATTTTCTAATCATGTATGTGTGTTTATGTCTCTACATCTCTTTCTCTACACCTATACTCCCCCCCCCCCTTTCTCTCTTTTACACACACATACATAAACAGTACTGACCCTGGGAAGAGGAGGAAATTTATAATGAAAAATTGCTTGTGGAGGTAAAGGGTTATTAAAATCATTTCTCTCTTATAAGATCCTTACCCAGTTAAATCCCATCACTATATATAGCACTCTTGAGGAAGAAAATCATGCTGGGAATTTCACCTTTTTAACTCCTTATTTAGTATAAAGCTTAGCTTCAAAATCCTTTCTTTGGGGGCTGAGAGTAGATGAGGGAACTCATTTTATATGACTTCAGTGGACCACAGTTGAGGCATCTGCAAAAACAACTATCTTATTTATTCTCAGTGTTTATTTTGCTATTTCCATTTGTCCATCCCAAACTAAAATATATGACTGATTTATGACAATATTTTTAACCACTTGAGACATCTGATATAAGATATAACATACCATGAATCTTAACTATAGAATTCATTGCCACAAGAGATTATGATATGTGTTGGCATTAGAGCCTTTTTAAAAGGTAGATTTCAGATGCTGCCTTGAGAGCAAGAAATGCATGTCTGAACATTCAATTCCAAATTGTTGATGATGAAATGAATGCAGCCATATTGCCTTGGATAAATACAGTATTTCTGCAAAGAAAAAAATGTCTTCTAGATGTACGGTTGTCCGCTCCCATCAGACCAATTTCTGTCCTTTAATGTGGTGTGTGATCTGTGAATCGTTGCTGGAGGTGCAGCAGGAGTAATGCAACGTTTAGAAGAGAAGTTTGTTTGTTTCTAAGCATGAAGCCTCCTCATTCATGAGATAAGCAGATTATAAATTGGTTTAATAAGTAGGGTTTTTTCCTTGCCTCATTCTTGCCAGCTGAAAGTCTTTGCAAAATATATGGACCAATTGAATACTAACTCTTTTAAGGACTATTTGGTGGCTCTTCCTACTATAATGTTTTCTTTCCCCAGTGGTCCAGCCATACTTCCAGGCATATCGACGTATTGTGCATTCCTTCGGTCCAGAAATTCTTTTGGAGAGTGGTGAGATCAACCGTGAAGCTTTAGGAAATATAATTTTTTCCCAACCAGAAAAACGTCAACTGCTAAACTCCATCACTCATCCTGAGATCCAGAAGGAAATGTTAAAACAGATCTTGAAATACTTTGTCTTGGGTAAGCAGCTGGGAGAGTTAATATTACTTTGTAGAATCCTTGGCGCACCCATCCTACTGATAAAAATGATAACATCTCTGTTGGCCATGTGTCCATTTTATTATTGTATGGCAAGGGAAGGAAAGGCTGAAAAGGCAACTTTGCTGATTCCCTTTGTGACATATTGTTTGCAATCATCCTTTTATAGCTTATATCTTCAGGATTCTCTGTTCTTTATATTTTCCCTTTGCATTTTTAATCCCTTAATGTGGTTTTAAAGAGCACACACAAAAGAACCTTTAGGCAGCATCATGCATAATGTCATGCCTCCTGAAATGCTCAGACACTTCTCCAATACCCCAATTCTCCTGCTGCTCTTCTAAAAGCACTCTTTGAATTTGATAAGATAAAATAATGGCTTGGCAATTGGGGTTTCTGCAGTGCCCTTACATTTTCCCATTTATTTTGTGATAACTGACAAATACAGCCATTAAACCAATCTAATCCAGTACCTTCCAAATCGCTCTTCAGAGGATGCTATTTCTTCTGTTCTCCATTTGAGCTTGGCGTACTTAGAGGAAAGAAACACTCATGTGCGAATGCTGTATGTCGACTTCAGTTCAGCATTTAATACAATCGTTCCTCAGCATCTAGTAGACAAACTGGGCCTTTTAGGCTTTATTACTCCTTTGTGCAACTGGATTCTTGATTTTCTTATTAATAGGCCCCAGTATGTGTGAGTTGGGATTAATATTTCTAACGTCATTTTCTTGAGCACAGGTTCTTCTCAAGGTTGTGTCCTAAGCCTGTTATTGTTCACCCTGTTGACCCATGACTGTTGTGCAAGGTTTGCCACCAGCCATAGTATGAAGTATGTGGATGATACAACATTAGTGGGCCTTATTCAGGATGACAATGAGAGTGCTTACCGCAAGAAGGCAGAGAGTTTGGTGAACTGGTGTAATAAAAACAGCCTCTTCTTAAATGTAGGAAAAACCAAAGAGATCACTGTCAATTTCAGAAAAGGCAGCCACAGTCACACTGCTCTGTGTATTACTGATTCACCTGTGGAGCTGGTTAGCAGCATTACATTTCTGGATGTGCAGCTAACAAATAGGCTAGCTTGGTCACTCAATAATGGGACACTGTTGTGGTGAAGCGGGCATGCAGGGTATGAGAAAAGTACATCTACCTTCCCCTGTTCTTACCACTTTCTGTAGAGGGATGATTAAGAGCATATTGCATTACTGTCTGGTTTGGAAGCATTACTGCTTTGGACAGGAATGCTGTGCAGACAGTGATGAGGACGGCAGAAAAGATGATTGGTAGTTCACTTCCTTCTATCCAGGACATGGCATATGAACTATGCTTGAAGAATCTGCAGGATGTAGTCTGCGACACTACATATCCTCTTCACAACCTGTTTTCCTTGTTACCTTCTGGGAGGAGGCTTCGTGATATCTGAAGCAGAATGTCTAGATTCAGTCACAGTTTTGTTCCGTATAGTATCAACCTTGTGAACTCTCACATTTCCTCTTTCTGCTATGTATTCAAAATGGACAATGGTCTATATCAGTGGTTCTCAACCTGTGGGTCGGGACCCCATTTGGGGTCGAACGACCATTTCACGGGGGTCGCCAAACAACCCAGTCCGCCATTTTTTCCCCCTTTTCCTTAGCTGTGCTACTCCCTTTTATTCTATTGGCTTTTGAAAGCCAATAGAATAGACTCTCTTGAATAGAGTATAATTCTATTGGCTTTCAAAAGCCAATAGGAATTGTCCAGGCTGTCTCTGCCCTGCTGAGCCCGCCAAAAGTCCCATTCTGCAAACGGTGCTGCACCAGTTGAGTAGTCCTCGACTTACGACCGGTTGGGGGTCGCGGCATTAAAAAGGTTGAGAACCACTGGTGTAGAATTGGAAGTGTCTTGGCGACGTTTTGACGAAGTCCCATTCGTCATCTTCAGGTTGGTGTTTTCAGCTTCGTGCTTCGAGGAGCAATATCAATGGGACTTTGTCGAAACGTCGCCAAGACACTTCCAATTTTACACGGGAGAAAACCCGAATAACCAAAGACCTACATACAAACACCCGCGAAAACCTCAGAAAACAAATATATATAAAACATACTTTCTATTGAGACCACGCAACAGAATTTCATTTTTAATGTGATTCAGTGCTCACAATAAAAAATGACAATAAAGGTTATCTTATCTTACCAATGATAGCAATGGTTGCTTTGGGATCTTTGTACAAAAAAAGGACCTGGCACTTATTAAGGGCAGATAGGGAAATGGAGAAATAGTGAGGCTATGATCTTCAGTTTCTAAGATCTACAAAATTATAAAAATGAAATATGTGAGAAAGGAAGGAACAAATCACCATCTTCAGACTGCCATTCTTCAAAACCTCTTTTTTTTAACCAAATGAAAATTATGAAAATTCTTTGAAGTATAGTAATTTGGGCCTATATGTTCTATAGCCATCAACAATGCTTTCTAGAAAATAGAAAGGTCACTTGGAAACATCATCAAATATAGTTGCTTGTATTAAGTATAGCAATAATTGGGAACAATGATAAACCCAAAAGCTTTTTGGAGTAGAAATTTGAGGATAAGAGAAGAGACATTTGTTTGAGAAGAACTCAGTGAGCTCTGTTAAAATGTGTAGAATGATCACAGATAAGGGGAATGTTGCCTGTATAGCTAAAACTGTTTGGCATGAGACTATACTCGTTTTATTTAGGTATCTATAATATCACATAAAGGCACATTATGTGTAGTATATATTAAAAGACTCTGAGATACAACACTATCACCTAATGAGGAAGCTATGCTCTACACCAGCAGTTCCCAACCTTTTCTATACCCCGCATCCCTAGAACACTTCTGATATATTCTTGCACCCCATACAAAAGTTCGAAATAAAGGCAACGAATTATGCATATGCACTATAATTTTGAAACTTTTAAACCCAAGTTTTCGCAGGAATATCGTCTCGCAACCCTAGTTGGGAACCCATGCTCTACACTATCAGATATATTAGAGGAGTAATCAGTAGTCAGGGAAAACAAGAATCTTCACTTATGTTATCAAATTTTCCCATCCTGTGGAAAGTTTGGAGTAGACAATAAGAAGGAGTTGCTGCAGGATGTTCAATGAAACCTTGATTTAGCAGAACCTCTTTTAACAGGTTTCCAATGCAATGAAAGATCAAGCAAATGTGAATATGAATTTCACTACCTAAATTCCAGACAAACCCACTGTCTTTTTCAAAAGTCTGTTTAGACAGTTTTAGTTTTGTGCATGCAGTAGCGTGTTTTCTTCTATCGACTAGTAGTTCTATACTGTTGCTCTTCTATTGAATAAGGGGGAAAGAAGAGATCCCAAGCAGACAGAGTTTTTATGTCTCTTCAGCACATACAGTATGTACTTTCCATCTTTTTTAGACGCTTTCTCAAAAACTTTGGGTTGATTTGTTCAATGATCTATTTATTTCCTTTCTTGGTTGTCCACAGTATTCTCAGGATTTACCCCCCCCCCAAATACTATAGTTCAAAATAATCAATATTTTTCCTAACTTGATTTTTTAAAGTTCAACATTTGTTTCCATAGAATGTCAAAGGAAATGTTGTGGCTTGCATGATTATGATCTTTGTAAGTATAGACACATCACAACATTTGAATAACGATTTCAAAATCTTCATGATTGATTTGTCAGATACTGGTCTGCAGTGTATTTCTTGACTACTTATTCCTATATTACTGATGGTTAACACTACAAGGCAAAGGCTATTCACCAGTTTGCTGTCTTTATTGACATTTCTACAGCTAGTTATTCTACCTGTTGTCATTAGTTTGGTATTTTTTATATTTAGTGTCATTTTTTTCACTGTCTCCTTGACTTTTATTACTAGAGCTTATAGATCTTTTGCATTTTTGGCAATCAGGTTAATGTGATCAGTATAGTGCAGATTATTGATCTTTCTTTCTCCAGTTTTAAAACCACACCTTGCAACCCATCTTCCCTATATATACATTCAGCAGATAGGTTGAATAGATAAGGAAATAGAACAAAATCTTGTTATGCTCCTCCAACCTGGAGCCAGTCTGCTTCTCCATCTTCTGACCATCTTCTGGCTTCCTGATCTGACATATGTTTCTCATGAGTAGAGTGAAATATTCTGGGATTTCCATTTTTCTGAGTACTTTTCACAGCTTAATCAATTGAAGGCCGTTCTATAATCAGAGGACATAGTGACTTCTTTTTGGTATATTTTTGGTTTCTCAATTATACAATGTGCACCAGTAATGATATCTCATGTCCCTAGCCTTTTCTAAAGCTAGCTTGAACATATTTATTATTTTTTTCACTTAGGTTCTTCATCTCCAAGATAATCCTAAGCTTTATTTTTTCTAACATGTGAAATTAAGGATATTGTACAGTAGTTTGCACATTTTTTAAAATGTTCTTTCTAGGTATTGGAATGTAGATTGACCTCTTCCAATCGTTTGGCTATTGTGTTGTTTTGCTGGTCTAGTTTGGTTAAAACCTTTATTGATTCTGCTGTTGCTTGCCATATTTCTATGATAATGATTGGAGTGCTGATCTATTTTCAGCTTCTAGTACTAGTGGTTCTTGTATGTAGGGAATTTGCTCCAAGACCCCTTGGATTACATTTTTGGCTAATATTTTGGTGTACTCCTACCATCTTCCCTTGATCTCTTTTGAAAGATTACTATCTGATCATTGGCATTCTTTAGCATATCATTTCTGGATTGGAACCTCCTTTTGAGTTTAGATATCTTTTGAACTATTTCCTTGTTTTTCCATGTCTGTCTCTATCTTGAATGTGTTTACGGATTTTATTGCAATACTGCTTCATGTATTCTATGAGATATTTGTCTTTCTTGGCTCTGGCTTCTCTCCTCACCAGTTTGTTCTGTATTCAGTTTGCTTGGTTTGTTCTGTATTCAGTTTGCTTTCTGTTCTGTTTTTGTTTTTGGCAAGCTTTTTTCACACTCATCCTTAATAACTTCCTTTAAATTCAATCCATAATTCTTATGGCTGTCCATCAGTGAGGTTTAGGGCTTCAAACAATTTCTGAAATTCTCCTTGAAAATGGTGACTATATATTCCTATTCTTTAACTGAGCTTGAAACTCGCACATGAGTAGTTTATGATCTCTTCCACAATATTTTTGATACTATTACAGAGCTCCCCCACTCCACTAAGTAACAATATAAGTAGAATATTTGTAGCTCGGGGTTGGTGCTCTCTGAGCTTGCTTGTTTTTTTGCAGACATTTCATTACCCGAACTAGGTAACATCACCAGTGCTAGCAGGACACCTCTTAATCATCTTGATTTCTAAATACTCTATCTCATGATGTCCATGTAGAGAAGTGTTTTGGTTGTTTGAAGTGTTAATTATGAAGAAATAATTGGACTTGCATGAATTAATACATCAGCTTCCTGCTTCCTTTTGGTTTCCTAAATCATATAATCTACATATATATTCTTTTGTGTTTCCCCCACTCTCCAGTCCCATGTAGTACATCTTGCTTGCATGTTCCATTGATTTTTATATTGAACTTGATCATGAAACCTATATTAGCCTTCTGCATTGGTGGTAGGAGCACTAGTTTGAATGATTGTCATATGAAGTCTAATCAATATTATTTAGTCACTGATTAAATTGTAGCGAAATACAGGTAGTCCTCAGGTTATGATGGCAATTAGGACTGGAGTTTTTGTCACTAAGCAATGCGGTCATAAAATAAATCATCTCATGACTACATTGCCTAGTGATGGCAAACCTGGGAGTTCATGTTGCTGTCATTAAGTGAGGACCATGCAGATTGATCAGTGAGGACCTCACGTGACCACAACATGGGATGAGGCACTTAAATTATGTTTAGGCAGGTAGACTAAAGAGCACTATGGAATATAGGTAGATGGGTGGGAGATAAGGAGCTACAGAGTATGGGCAGTCATTGACTTTGCTTGTGGAAGGCAGGCAGGGAAATGGCAATCAAGTGACCATGGAACATGCAACTGTCATAATTGTGAGCCAGTTGCCAAGCATCTGAGTTGTGTTCATATGATCACAGGGATGCTGCAATAGCCATAAATTGGCAGACTGGTTGTAAATCTCCCTCCTTCAACACTGTTGTAATATTGAACAAATGGTCGTACCTGAGGCCTATTTGTATGTATTTGCAGCATCATATCCAAAAAAGTTACTGCTATTGAAAAAAATGTTTATAATAAAGGATTTATTTAATTTTTCCAGGCTATCGATATGTGATTCTGGATATCCCCCTCCTCTTTGAGAACAAAATGCTGACCAGATTCATGAAGCACACAGTTGTTGTATATTGGTAAGGAAAGTATTGGATAAAATGCTACATAATTTTAAATAACATTCAGTGCTAATGATTTAGATGGAATGAAAGTCGGAGAATGGGCTATGTAATATATTGTTTTCTTTAAATGGAAGTTAGAATAAACAGCATTTTCATGTAAATATTAAAAGAATATTTAACCCGAGTTAGAGTTGAAAAGGCCGTGGGTCATGGAATTATCCTTAGAAATTGAAGAGCCATTGAAACGGAGTAGAGTAATTTGTGGTCCTTCCATGTAACTGCAATGTTTATAATAAAGCCATATGACCTGAGTCTCTTCATCCAATCCTCTGCATTTCAGTAGTTTTCTGAATGATTTTCGGATCTGGCATTAGAATCTCAGTCTGTTTACAGGCAGTCTTTCAATGTAGCATACTAAATGCATATTGTCTTTTGTGTATGAATTTATTCATAATGCATTTATATGTTCCAGTAGCCACTTGTATTTCTATAGCTGGTTGAGAAGGAATTTATATTCCTGTTCCTCCTATTATTATTACTGCTACATATAAGAATCTACAGGTTGTAGAGAATTCTTCTTTCTGGTATGGGTCTCCATGGAGCAAGCCCCATCACACTACAAATGGTCATAGGAAAAGCACATATCTGCTCTAATGTAATTCAGCTTGTTTCTGCAAGACCACCTCCTGGTATCTAAGGAGACAAGCCATATACAGGGAAGCTAGTTGACAAAATTACCTATCTCATTTTCCAATCCATCATGGATATGCTGAGCTTTCTGAAGATTCAAACCTCAAGAAAACGGTGTGTTGAAGTGGAGTAGGACCAAGTAATTGGAACATCCTGCTTCCTGAATTGTGTATTTCCTTAGTCATTGCTTTGTACTTACATATTCTAGCTTTTATGTGCATTATAAGACCAAGATATTTGAGACTTGAGATGGGTGTTGGAAGTAAGATCTTAATTCTTTTATCCTGTTATGCTTGTTATATACACTGATGTTGTTCCACTATCAGCAAGTACTTTTTCTTTGCCCCCCCCCCCAGTGCTGCAGTACTTTATGTCTTTTGCTACTGCAGAACGTTCAATTGTGGGAGAAAAATAAAAGTATGATATTTTGAGATTCTTTCGGAAAAAGAGGGTGGGGTAAGGAGTACGATTAATTTCTTTCATACCAGAGAATTCATTTGAAGCACCTGAAGAGTAGATTTCATCTTTCAAAGAAACCTGTCATATATTTTTTGTGTGACTGAGTTTGCGTGAAGTGCTAAGTTTTAAACCATTGTTAACAAAGCATAATGGGGTAAGTTAATGCAGCACACCAGCAAAATCAAGCCGACCACATTATACCTTGGGGAGATGTGTGAAATAGGTTTTGGTCATGATGAAGTGAAGGCAACATAAAGAATATTGGAAACTCTTTATTAAGATCACTGGCAGCTCAAGAGCCCAAGGAATAGTGGTTAATTTCTTCTGTCGATCAGTTGTTACTGTTTGGAACAGTACAAAGGGATGGTCATAGTTAAAGTTTTCGCCACTTCTACCATTAACAATGACAAACTTAATCAGAGTTGTTGCTTCTTATGCACTAAAAGCAAAGCATTCATCTTGCATGCAATGGGAAGGAAAAAACAAGATGAAAGCTTTTCTTCTCCCAGTGATCATGGTCTAGATGGACATTAGAGGTACAATTTGGAGAACATTTGATTTTAATTGAATTCATTTTCCTCTCTTCTATCAGTGATCCACAGGTCCAGCTGTCCCGCTTGATGCACAGGAATGGGCTGACTCAGACAGAGGCAGAAGTACGCATTTTTGCCCAGATGCCCCTTGCTCAGAAGGTCAAGTTGGCTGACCATGTCATTGATAACTCAGGAGATACTGAGGCCACCAAGAAGCAGGTCCTGAAATTACATGCAGAATTGGAGAACTCCTTGGAGTTCCTTATGATGCGCTTATTGGCTGTAGCAGCAACAGTGGGAGTTGGAGGCCTTGTGTACTTGCTAGTACAGCAACTTGTGCGATAGACTGTTCTATCATTATCAAAGAGGACAGAGGAAATCTAGACTCTTAATTTAGATTGCATTTATGCATAACAGATTGATTATGCTTGCATAAAAGATTGATTATGGGACAAAAAGGGATTTTAGTGGGGATTTGGATTAGTAAGTGGACTGCTGAATTGGGGTAGTGATTAAGGGGCTACATGAATTTAATAAGCAAAGAAAGTGCCGTTTTCATATTAGTTTTTGGTATGAGAATAACTACAAGGTTTTTTTAAACCTTGAGATCTGCTACCGTGTTTTCCCGAAAATAAAACTGGATCTTTTTTTATTATTATTTTCGGGGGATGTCTTTTATACTCACCTCTGGCACCGACAGCCCTGCCCAGCAGGTCCATTTTTTCTGGGGCAGGAGCAGTTTCATTCTGCAGCTACATTCTGGCCTGCATTTTGTAGTCAGGCCTTTCCAGAAGGCCTACGCAGCCGGGTACCGAGCTATGGATTATAGCTCAGTTCTCAGCGCTAGAGGACTTGCAGAACTGAGCTATGGATTGAGACCCAGAAAGGCCTCTGACTGCAAAAAGCAAGCCTGAGACGCCACAGAAGAAGTGGGCCAGCGAGGAAAGGCCTGGCTGCAAGATAAGCAGGTACACGGTACGTAGTGCAGCTCCACAGCCCCACCCTAGCTTGATTTTTAGGTGTTAATACACAGTATTAACCATCTTTTAGAAACATTTACTTTTGTGGCTCCTTCAAGGACATAGTCAACATCAATTATTACTTCTGTAGGAGTGGGTAAGCAGTAAATGTAACCAAAAAACCACCTACAAGGAAATAAGATATCAAATCTGTATGCAGTCATATTGAGTAATGTCTTTTTATCAAATCTGTGGCTTTTTACTAAGACATGCGGCTTCATATTGAGTAATGTCTTTTTATTAAAATGACTAATAGAATTCAGTGTTACATAACCAGCTTATCTTGCAATATAGTCCTTTTATTTAACATTATAACTATTAGTCTAAGATGAGTATAAGGGAATGTAATGCTGTTCAAATATTTTTAAGTTTTCTGTAATCAGAATCTTGACTACTTCGCATGTCTACAGAGGTTTTGAGACAGTCACAAGATTTCTGTATTATGGAAATGCAGAGAAACATAGTAGAGTCTAATTCTGAAACACAACTTGGACTGAAATATACTCCTTTAATCCTATATAGTTAGAGAGCTTGGAACATGCCTAAGATACTATTAAGGTTGTATGTTATTATCTTATTCTACTGTACATAAAAGAGTTGGAAGTCAGTTCTTTTCTTTTCTTATCCCTTTTATCCTACACTTTTTCTTCTGTCCCTTTTCCCCATTATTCTATTTTTCTTTGTATTTCTGTATTTTATATTTTAATAAACTAATAACATTGTAACTGAAACATACCTAAGATACTCTTGTGCCCATACATTTTATGGAGAAACTAACCATGATGGCCAATAACTGGCTGCAATCAGATTATTGCTCAGTTACATTACAATCTTAATATAAGATTGTTGGTCATGTAAAGTTGCTGCTGTTGCTGATATATAAAAAATGTTTAGGTCACATTAATACATTCATTATTTCATAATAGTCTAATTGAAATGTATGGAAACTGTGCAAGAGAATAAAGTTGAAATGAGGTTCGGCTCCTGACAAGCCCAGTTTTGCATTCTAGGGTGAACTTCCTCTTCTTCTGACTTAAGATGCTACCTGTTTTATTTTCATCTGGAAAGATGTTATATGACAAAATGAAGTTTAAAGTATTCCCAAGCTTGACAAAAAAATGGTACCAAATATTTTAGCTCTACATGGAGGCCCCAGTGGTGCTGGGATTGCACAAGTTTCTTAGATGTTCTAAACATAGTTTAAAGTTAGGTATTAAATTTGTTGTGGGAACAAATGGGAAAGAAGAAATAAAGTGGGGAGACTGTTTTATTATTGACTCAGAGTCAAGGGCAATGTTGACTTTGAAAGAAGGGGATTAAAAAAAAGATAGTGGATAGAACTGTATGATTGAAGTCCTATCCTTTTTTACATGCAATACACATGTGATATGCAAATAAGTGAGGCTTTGGTTGCAGGGTTTCATACAGCATATTGATTTTTTTTTTTTAGCCACCCCTGCCTACCCACTCTTTGTGTGCTCTGATTGCAAGGTTGGAGAATGCAGACCTAGGATATATTAGGCTATGAGCCCTCCATCTTTAAATTGGTGCCTTCCTGGTGTTGAAAGCCAGCTTAAGGAAGTAGTTAAAGCACCAGGAGATTGAGAGTTCTAGTCCTGCCTTAGGCATGAAAGCCGGCTGGATGAGAGTAGCCAGTGACCTCACTGGGTAGTTGTTTGGGGGAAAATAGGAGAAAAAGAATATTAGATATGTTCACCTCCTTGAGTTATTTATACAAATAATAAAGGTGGACTGAAATGTGTTAGACTTTTATGTAAGACACTAGTTTATAATCCAACACCTCAGGGAAGTTATCTGACTGCATAATACTGTAGTTAGACTGATGAGAACTTTGCCCTAAAAAAAATTGTGTATTATTTTTACAATCACTGCAGCATTGCTCCCATCTGTGATAGCTAAAAGGCATTGTATAGCACACAGAATTCCAGATAATTATTTTGAAGTAATCAGCCATCTATTTAACTATAGGCTTTAATAATAATATTTGTGAAAGTACAAACAGGCAGTACCTTGAATATCCAGCAGAGGGAAGTGGTAGCCCAGTTTCATTCTAGCTGGTTAAACAGTTCAAAGAACAAAATTATTTTGTATTTTCTATTTCAGCATAACCAATCTGTAGAAACTGTGTTTCCCCAAAGAAAATGCAAAAAACACTATATTCTCAGCATTACAAATTTTCTTTTGATATACAAAGCAGAGAGGCCCTACAGTCAGTACTTTAATTTGATTTTTGCTTTGGGAAAGTGACCAACTAAGGAAAATGGTGGGCAAAAATTAGGTTAAGTCATTTGACACTACCATGTTTTCCCGAAAGTAAGGCCTAGCCAGAAAATAAACCCTAGCTTGATTTTTTGGGGGTGGGCCTAATATAAGCCCTACCCCCAAAATAAGTCCTAGTTTTGGGGTGAGGCACATACCTAAAAATCAAGCTAGGGTGGGAATGTGGAGCTGCCCCATGCACCCCATACCCATTTACCTGGCAGCCAGGCCTCTCCTCACTGACCCCTTCTTCTGCATGTCTTCTGCAGCTAGTCACAAGCTTTTCCAGAAGGCCTCTGCAGTCGAGATCTGAGCTATGAATTCAATCCATAGCTTGGTTCTGCAAGACCTCTGCAGCCAAGAACCAAGATATGGATTGAATCCATAATTCTGTACTCGGCTGCATAGGCCTTCTGGAAAGGCCTGACTACAAAATTCAGGCCGGAATGCAGCTGCAGATTGAAGTTGCTCCTTCAGCCGCAGAAGAAGTGCCGCAGAAGAAGTGGGCCGGCTGGGGGGGCTGTTGGTGCCGGAGTATAAAAAACATCCCCCCAAAATAAGACCTGGTGCCTCTTTTGAAGGAAAAAAAAAAAGACCCGGTTTTATTTTCAGGAAACATGGTAATTGGCTCTGCTACCTCTCTCTCTTGGCTTAAATCTTGCTTTTGGCTTTTGCTATTAGCAACTAATACACTGGAGCACTGCTACTTTCATAATGTAGCTGTTTACATTAAAGGCTAAATTACTAAGAATTTGAGAAGTTGAAATGCATAAAATATTGAGGAAGGTGTGAAATAAAGAACAGAAGTGAAAGAAAGAAACAGGTACAGAAGAATTTCATGGAATAAATGGGCTCATAGAAATATCTCAACCTTCTTTAATCCAGTATTCTTCAGATATATCACCATATAATTCTTGGAATTCCCAGCCAGCCTGGATAAATTGGTAAATTTTAAGAGATGCCATACAGATTGCTGTAAAAGCTTCTAATTTTTTTGAACTAAGAATTTTTTTTGCCGATTATTTTTCCAGGACCCAGTAATCAAAATGTTTTATACGATTATTATTTTTTCTTTTAATTATTAAAAAAGATAATTCCAAAGCATGGATACAGCAAGATGAAACAACAACAACTAACTACAGAAGAGAATAAAATCCTAGCTTTGCTGGTTTCAGAGGTTATGAATCTCCTATTTGTATACAAAAATTTATCAGATATATAAAGACTTCATGCAATGAAAGCCCACTGTTTTCCATATATTTGATGATGGTGGTGCTGGATTGTGCCTATTTCTGTATATATTTTTCAATGAACTATTAATAATATAATTTGCATGTCCTAGAATGTATGCAAAACTCACATTTTATTAATAAAACAGTGATGGAATCAATATGATTGTCTCTTTGTGCACGTAGTAGTAAACTAATCCTTTGTAAATCATAGTCAGACTTGGATGAATTGGTAAGATTTACAAAGGTAATTGTTTTTAAGCTCCAGCTATAACATAGCAGTTGTCTGGTTCAGACCCTTGATTTCCCAGCCAGATTCCTCCAAGAAGAAGGCATTACCCTAACATGACCTGCCAGCTAGATGACTTCTTCCCTTTCCATTAAATAAAACCATAGAATTGACTGTCAAATTGTTCTTTCAAAAGTAACAATTGCCAGATCTATAATTGAGGATCAATTTAGGGATGGGCAAGGTTTTCCTTTATTTCAGATTCTCCCATCGTGGTAGGTTCCAGGCCTCTTGGAACTATAGCTTCCAGGTTTATCAGCAAGCACAACCAAAGAGTTTTCAGTGAGTTGCACTCCTAAAACATCCAATGGGCTCCTAGGCGAGTTAGTTTTATTTCCAATTTTCACCCCTGTGTAGATATAAGGTTTCCTAAGGGAGGCTAAAAGTAGATAATAGGAAAGAAAAAAAACTATCATAGAATAGGTTACTCAGGCTTAGGAGGCAAATTCAAAAAGTAGAAGATAGAACCACTACAAAAATAATTTCATTTATATATAAGTTTTCTTATTAAATTTGTATGCTGCTAAATCTTTAGGTTCATCATAACATGTGTTTAGTACTGTAATTTGTTCTTTCTATTCAGTAAAATTACAACTTGGTTATTTTTGAAAACTTCATATGGACCCAGTGGTTCAAACAAGCATCTTTGTTTTGCAGGAAACAGGGCCATTTGACATAACTAAGACACAATTTTGAACTCTGTTGTACAGCAGCAACATAGTGAATAGTGTTTTATAGAAGATTTAGGAAGTATGGCACCTAATAAATAGGAGAGATTTTTCAGATTTATAAAAACATTCTTTAGTGAGTTTAATGAATTTATTAGGACAGGTCATTCCATAAACAAATTCTCCAATAGCTTAGGATTCACTGCTTCTTTTGTTTTGTTTTTATATCTTGGGGTTATATGATGTGATAATTGTTGCACCACATCATGAGCTCCAAAGCAATAATAACATTTCAACAATTCTTCCCATAATAGTTTTGTCAAGAAAAAGCATATTGCAGGATTCACTAAAAAAGAAATGGCTTGGCATCAAAGAATTGTAAAAGAATATATAAGAATAACACAGCAAACTAAGAGCTGAAAATATATGAAAGCTCCCTTGAATGTGACAAAAACATTTACAATCTTGGTAAAGTGTAGTATTTTGTTTCTCAGTGGGATCATGGTTGGTTTTGAAATGCTGGAACTTATGATAGGTTGCAAAGGAAATCTAGAATTATGCACACAGGGTACAGTTTTTCTACTACATATACTCTGTAGTATTATAAATTTCATTAAAAAACAATATTCAAAAGCAAGAAAGCAAAGAATCCAGTAATAAAAAAATCTGATTAGGTTTCCTCAGCTTGATAAGGACTATGAGATCTAGATTGCAAAAATATGCATAACATTAAATTGGAGCAAAGAATCTGTTTTCTGTATCCCTTTGTTGCCCTCTAGT